ATATGACATCTAAAGCAGCCCGATTGACTGCCACAACATCAACCGTACATTTTCATGCAACGTGGGACGCCAATCTGTTGTCAGCCAATTGTGGAAGATGATAGCGACCACTGCTGGCGGAAAAGGGGGTGGCGCCATTCCAAACCCTGCGTCCCGACACGCCTCAGCATCCGCAGCGAAAAAATCTGTATGTTTTCGCTCATGGATGGAGGTGCTGTAATGGCAAGTCGCATGCGCGGTCTGAAAATTCATGACAGATCGCCTCCCGCTCAAGACTATCAAACCCCCCCACGGGGCTTTGAGTCAGGACCAGATTGGTCCTGGAGGATAGAATACTGACTTGTGTAGTCATTTTCCCTGCAAAGGATAGCGTATGTGATGGGAGCATGAGTTGGATAGCAGCCAGAACAGCCCTTCCCGCCAAATGCTGCGGAAAGAGAATGGCTCCATTAGTGTAAAGACCTCCTTGGCAACGCTCCAGTTCAAGCCCTATCCGCTCTATATAGGCCACGAATTAATTGCGAAGTTAAGGAGCATCCTCTGAACGATACTCACCTTCTCGCCGATTTCAGTCATATCTTCTGCCGGAAGGCTTGCCAAATCCTGCCGAAGAGCACAAGCGTCCAGCACTTTCTCATAGAAAGTGCGGTCATAAGTGCGATTGAAAAGTATATTATTGCGGAGCGACAGATTCTGAATCCAGGCTTGTTGTGGGACATAGGCGATCGAACCGCTGACGTTCACACTGCCACTGATTTTGTTCATTTCTCCTGTAATACTCCATTAGAGGTACTTCCGTCCTCAGGTACACTTCAGTAAGAGGAGTGAGTAAATAATGAGTAAACGGAGAAGGATGAACCTAGAATAGCCTGAAGTAGACTGCTCTTTCCAGCGCCAACTTTGCCAACAATTGCAACGAGTTGTCCACGTCCAACGGACATAGTGATGTTCTTCAAGGTCTCCTCTACGTCACCGTTTTCCCATGCAAATGTCGCGTTCTCGATCTTCACAGCTTCCTCTGCAAAGAGTGGAATGATTTCGGAGTGGACAACGCTTGAAGATTACTTTTTCCTTACCAGTGTACTTGTTTCCCACGGCATCAGCATCCATCTCCTCTTCGGCGAAGAAAGCACGGAGACGCTTGTTGCTTACATGGCATTGAACAGCCTAAAATACAAACAGAGTCGTTTGCCTTGCCGACCCTGGGCGTGCGGACGGTGTGCGGCGTCGGCCCTTCTCCACCAAGTGTTGAGGTGGGAAAATGACAACAATTACTGGAGGAAGTTTTTGAGAGAGTCGTCTCACAAATTTGGAAACCAGATTCACCTTCCTAAAGAGCGCACGACGGTATAAACTTTACTGCAAGTGATTGGACAAGTTCTTAACCTTCCTATGCTTAAATTAGTGAGTATCAGCAAGCACCCATGGCAAGAGGGCTTGGTAGATCGGTTATGATTGGTCATTGCGCGCAACAACCAATCACAGCCACTCCTCACACGTGTGATTCACCTTCAACCTAGTCAAGGTAGTTCATGCCAGGCTTGTCGCTCCACACACCGTAGCCGTACCCTTCTGAGTAACAACGACTTGAGTCAAGCTTTTAAGAGTCATTACCTGGCTGAATATCATTGCGAAAATCGCCAATGGAAAACGAAGAATATTGAACAGAGCTAGAGCGACGAATGTTACTTGTGGTGTGAGGACATTGTTTTCCGGATCGGTGGTGACAAAAACAGCAAAGGATAGTACTGCCACCTAAAATACTAGACTTAAACGGCTACTGAGCATAATGTAGAGCTTGAGTGCGAAAATGATTTTCATCCTTTTTATAACATTATTCTGATGTTTTTCTGTTGATTTCATGATATTTGTTCCTCACTCTATTCAACAAGTGACTGTTCAAGAATGGTGGGTGACGGACAAGAGAACCGTGGTTTGTCGCGTCATCGCGCGCGATGTATCGTGCGGCGATGCGCTACAAATCCTCGGTGTGCATCAGCACGTTGATCTGAACAGCGAAACTATCGCGAATTTGAGTGAAAACAAGACTCCATGACGGGCGATATTGAGTTTCCCCATCCCTTTGACACTCATATGCGAACGGCCAGAGAGCAAAACTCGTCCGTAGGGGACTGCATCGCTCGCCACGCTACCCCGCGGCGTATTACGATTGTCTTGTCACATACCCAAGAATGTTGCTACCATGTGGATTTTACGATCCCTTGCTTCTAATGTTCACTATCAGGTACGAACCTGTAAACTTCTACCAGCCTAGAATTTGCAACTAGCGAAACCACTGTGCCGTCTTTTAGTAAACAATTTGGATAAATAAGAATATATAAAAACGAAGGCACTCAATCAGTAATCTAACACAAAGAAAGGAAAGAGGTACCAAAAAAGGAGCGCAAGCCCATGAGAGCGTCGTAGCAGCATTCAGAAAAGCTAGCTTTCTCAGCACGTTGAGCTCCTTCACACGAATGTTGAGGATCTGAAAATGTCACAGTAAGCTAAATGTAGCAATGGAACCTAAAAGCTTATCACGAAATTTTAGGGCAGGTAGGGTACAACATCGCTGGGAGAGTCTCACCAGGAAGGTCGTATTGGTGATTGGGGGCCACATCTGGTCCTGACAGAAATTCCCCAAGCCGCGAGAGGAATTCCTTCGGTCGTGGACTTTTTCGCGGCTTTTCCCATTTCAAATGACTATGCCCCTCCGGTCCCATGTGTTGGTGGAGTCGTAAAAATTCTTCACAACTGTTTTCTACACTTGACACAAATAATTTTTTTCATATTTCAATTATGCATTAACAGGACTCGCTTGCAGTTCTTTCTGCATTTGAGAGTTCATTGAATTTCTCCCCCTTTCCTGCGGAACGACTGAGAAGCTGGAGGTCGCGTATTCGAAGAAATTACTCGTTGGATGATGTGCTCACAGCAGGAACCCATAAAAATCATTGTCATTAGAAACCAGAAATTGAGAGACTGAGGCTCACCGCATTTTCCATACTTTTCTCCCACGCGTATAGTTTGAGAACTTTGATTCCATTCAGGACCTCCGACATCATTTTCAGGCGTTCATCCTTGTATTTCATTTGTTTCACCTGGAAGAACATTACGATATAAGCATTATTAGAAAACAAATGGATAAAAAGTGGCAGATATAATAATAAGGTGAATATGAATTAATTCTGGTGTTACTGATTCAATAAAAAAAGGCCCACCTGGCAGTTTCGCATTTTCACAGAAATGTATGAGTTTACAGGGACCATTGCCACCAAAATCACTAGACCAGCAATGACAGGCCACGCCCAGTATTCTCCATAAAAACACTATCGAAAGAATAACCTGAAACATCAGAATTACGGTACAATGTGTGCAGAAAACATGAGGAGTTTGCTGAAAGAAGACGATACCTGAAGAGGAGCTGACCAGAACAACATTACAAATGTGGTCATGTCTTGTAAACGTTGAATATCGACTGACATAAGATTCACAATTTCTCCGGTGGTACGGTTTTTTCGTGCATTGTTGGATAAATTCATTGCCTTAAATATACGGTAACCTTATACCGTGTAAGAATCGAAAATTGCAAAAAATATCATTGGAACCCGGTACATCTCCAGTGACGTGCTTTCAACAATGTTTCCCCAATCATTAGCTGTTGACGGGGACATCTGACAATAAACAAGCGCTCGATAGAGGATCAAAGGCCCTGTTGCTCTGTACATACAGTAATTCTTGTGGCGA